TCGGCCAACAAAACGCTCGCATCCTAATGATACGCCTTCTCTCCTTTTTCCCTCTCGCTCGGGAGCGTGTAACGGAAATAGAGTCGTCGCCGCCACTCGCGCTCCCAAAAGCCACCGAGTCACCTTTCACACGGGCCGGCGCTGCTGCATGCCCTTGCTCGCGAACTAGATTTTTCGCGGGCGGAAGGCCCACTTTCCTCGTCGCCGCTTTGCCTCCGCGGAAGCGCGCACTTGGATCGAGCTCGTCGAGCACGACAATCCGTCTCCCGTTCGCCGCTGGATCTTCGTGCGTTGTTGCCGGTTAATTGCGCGCGAGCGGAATGCCTCGTCATGTAACGAAGAAAAAAAGGAAGAAGACTCGTTCGCACGCTCGACAATGCCGCCTTATGCCGCGCGAAAGGGAATCAAAGCGTATTACGTCGAAGAAAAAGAGGTAGTCTTTTAATCGGCCAGTGCCGCTGCGACCACGCGTGGGTGGGTTATTGAAAAATCTATTTCAAGGTGTCGAGCTGCGGAAAAAATCCTCGCTTACTGTTTTATTCATACGACCCGACGACGACACTGAGAAGGGTTGTTGTTCGCTTATGCACTCGTTAAAGAGACAATGTATCCCCCCCTCTGTCTCTCTCTCTCTCTCTCTCTCTCTCTCTCGCTCTCTCTCTCTCTCGTTGTAAATTTGCATCCAACAAGCATGCTGTTGCCCGCGCGTACACTCATAACTCATTCGCGTATTTGACATCTCAATTCGCCACGCATGGAAAAAGAATCCCGACGAAAATTTCTAGGCAGACGAGGAACAGCAGCAGTAGGCACTCGCAGTATGTAATCGGCCATGCGTATGCATTATACAGAAGAGAGAGAAAGAGAGAAAAGCAGAGTCTATAAAACGAGAGTCGCGACTGCCCATGCGCGGCCGCTGCTTTTTTCTTCGGTCCTTTATCTCGACGAAATCCCTGCAACGGTCCACGGCTCGTTGAGGGCACAATTGCTTCGGCGTCGCAAATTGCTATCTACGCGTTTCGAGCAGCCCAGAGACAGTCGCGATCGATCCTTTTCGGCGGCCATGACTCGATGACTTTAATATAGGCGCTCGAAAAAATGGTCGCGAAAGAGCTTCGCTAACGGTGATTCACCGCTACGTAGCGCCTCGACGAAACAATTAATCAGCGCGCCGTTTCGGCCCACAACTTTGGACGTTCCGTGTGTATACGTATCGTCGTCGCTTTCGAGTCGTGCGCGCGCCAACCAAGCTCGCTCTGTGCAACATAACGTCGCCCGCGCAACAGCTCCGCCTTTTACCGTTAGTTTGGCCACGCGAAAGAATAGTCCTCTCTCCCGCGCTACTCGCACAGACTTTTAGGTCACGCGCTCTAGCTTCGCTGCTCTTTTTTTCTCGTGCTCCGCTTTACGGCGAGTTTTCGGCATCCGAGGAGCTCGCGGGACCGTCGCCGGCTGAATTATTCCGAAGGCTGCTCGAGCCACGAGCGCGAGGCTGCAAAAACCAGCTGTTTCGAAAAGCTCGAGCGAGTCGACGGAATGCCGCGAATTGACACTAGCCACGAGAAAAACGAAAGGATGGATTTATGAGCTGCGGGCGGCAAATGACGCTGCGCGACGATGAAAATTCCAATGAGGGACGACGACGACGACGACGACGACGACGACGACGAGGCTTACCTCGATTAACATGAGGCGCGATCCATCCATCTTCCGCGCGTTATACGACTAAGCGATAAATTCTGAGACATCGCGGGTATCATCTCATTGGACGGGCACTTTTCTCCAAAAAAGAGAAACGCTGTTGCTAATGACTCGGAAAACTCGTCCAGGATTAGCTTCCGACGCACCTCTCGAGCGAATCAAAGCAGAGAACAACAAAAAACGAACAAAAACAGAGCAGGATAAAACCGCGATATCCGCGCTGCTGCCGCTGCCAACTAAACAGTCGTTATCGACTTAATCCTTTTTCCGTTCGCCAAACGAGAATGAAAAAAAGTATTTCCTAACTGTACCGGCAATCGCGCTACATATAATAACGTCCGCGCGAGCGCGTGCACTTTTTCGCAATTAGATTACCCGCAGCAGCGGCGACGGCGGCGGCAGCAGCAGCAGCAGCAGCAGCAGCAGAGGAAGTCGCAAAGGAGAAAAAAGGAGAGTCGAGAGACGAAGGGGCTGCGAGGAATCCTGACGCGCGAGTCTAATTATAGAAGAGCCGCGGAGCGAGATGCATGCACGCGGTGACCACGGAGCAGATACGGAGGCGCTTATGCGCGTACCAACGGCGCCATCCTCGTCAATCCACACATATAATATGTTTGCCATTATCCGCGCGCTACGCTCGCTTATTCGGTCGCTTTGCCGAACAAAAGACGCGCCGGACGCGCCGAGCTTTTGCCGGTTTTCCGTGGCGCGCGTTCGTTGAACCCTCCGCGATTTCGAATGCGAGGCGCGATAAAATGATACGTTGCCACCGCGCGTCCATAATGAGCTTTCTGCTGGCTGAGCAGGCAAACTTGCAAATGCGAGCAGGGAGATTCGATGGAACCTCTGTGAATTCACTTTCATTGCCAATTGAAAAGAGCGCCGTCTCTTGGAATTAATAATTCAGGCCGCGGAGAGAGAGAGAGAGATGTGCGTAGCAAAGCTTGGCCAGCCGCGAGGCTCCGAGCAGGAAAAAACCAGTGGCGTAATTGCGGAGTAATCGCTTTCATGAATAATGCGCATACCTCGCCCCCCTCCCCTCTCCTTTGCTCTCCATCTAGCCATATCTCAATTTGTATAATCGTCCCGGACGATTTTCCGCCATCTGTTTCTTCTGGCCTGCGCCTTCGCGCGGCGCCTGCGAGAACGCAGACCCCGTGGCCGCGCGGCGCCTGCGGGATGATCACAGAGCAGACTTTCGCGCCGCACGGGACAGCTGTAGCTGCTCGTCCTCGCTACTGAAATGAAGTTATACGGATCCCTCTCGCGCGTACACGTGCGCCGACCGAACCAGAGCACAGAACTTTACGCAACGCTGGCCGTTTAAGATTTCTCTCTGTAACGATTCCATCCGGCGCCGCCTTGTTGAAAAAAAGGACAAAGAAAGGCACAAAACCACGCAAAACTCGCGTCGATCTAATGAAAACGCAGCGAATAATCCCGCGTGCGCGCGCACATTGCAAACGTCAGCGCGCGCGAGCGCGTGTAATGCCGCGCGCGAGGGTTGATTTATGGTGGCATAAATCGCACCAAGTGGAATGATTAAGGACGCCCGCGGAGCCCTCTTCATCGGCTATCAGAGAAAAGGAAAAAAAGAAAGACTCGGTCGACCTTGAGGCTCGGCCGATGCATATTCACGCAGCTTGGCAGCGCGTTGCCTTCGAAGGCATTGTCTCCGGGAGAGGGAGCGAGAGAGCGAGAGAGAGAGGGTTCGACGAACGGCGTCTCGCTCGCGGGGTTAATAGCCGGTTAATTCGATCGCCGACCGATTAGACTGGCTATCTATTCGAGAGAGGAAGCGATTCGATCGATATACCTACATATGCGTACGCGACGGGACGAGGGTCTAACGGCTCGCGCCTATCGCTCGGCGTTTTTTTCGCATCGAAAATTACCCGCAGCAGCGCGGCAAAGGCTCCCGTCGGCGAGCCGTGCGCGCGCACGCGCGCGCGTAATCGCTCGCAATTACCGCGCGCGCCTTTTATTCGCGGTGCGCGCGAGGCGAGCCACAAATCTCGGCGCGCCTTTCGCGCGCGGTAGCTTATCTCGCTCTCCGGCTCTCCGAGCGCAGCTCCGGATAGGCGTCTGGACTTAATTAGACTTGGATTGGGCCGCGCCCGCGACGACGGCCCGAACGGCTGGTAGATGCTCCCACCTGCTTACCGGCGATTTTTCACTCCGCGCTGCCAGCTTCAGCGATGAATTTCAGATGGCTTCCCGAGCTTTGCGAAGCTGTAGATCACTCGCTGGCTGACCGTATGCATGTAAAACGGAGCAAATAATTGGGCGCGCCGTCGATATTCTAATTCCCCGAAGCGCCCTCGCGCCTCGCGCCTCGCGCTCCTGCATCCCGAGATAAAGCGCGCTCTTTTCAGCTCCTTCTCCTCGACTCTGCGAACCAACGCCCGCCTCTCTCTCTCTCTCTCTCTCTCTCTCTCTGTCTATCATTTTCACATATCAAAACAATGCTTCTACTCGCGCATAGCTTCGGCTCGATACATATCACCACGCTGGCAAATACACGAAGGAGAGAAGAAGCGTCAAATGGAGCTTGAATCCACACATAGAGAGAGAGAGAGAGAGGGCGCGATAAGAGGAGAGTTTCTCGTTTCGTGACCGAGGCTAAACCGTCCTTTTCTCGACACACGGCGCAAAGAGTTTTAAAAAGAGCAGTCGGGGAAGGAAAATCAAGACAAGACGCTGCTGCTGCTGCGGCTGCTACTGCTGGTGCCGGTGGTGCTGCATGCCGTGCGCTCGGCTAGCAGCATGCAAGCTGTGTGTGTGTGTGTGTGTGTGCGCGCGCGCGCCAGCAAGCACGATAGCAAGCGAGAGATAGTAAACTGGTTTCTGCACGGCACGGCACAGCGCGAGGGGGCAACAATTCCTAACGAGAACTTGATGCTAAAGCTCAGTCTCGCGATGGGAAAGCCGACGCGCGCGGCCTGCTGCGACCTTCGCGTCCGTCAATTGCGTGGGAGGTCGCCTAATTCTTTTCCAACCGCGCAACGGAACGAGAAACGAGTCGGCGGAAGCAGCACTCGCGAATGTTATCGGCGGCGCTCCTTACCGCTCGCAGCCGAGCACTGCTCGGAAGCGCGATTAGGCTTGTCCGTTCGCTAACGAGACAATTGTTTGGCGAATTCAAGTCGCGAGCGAGAGTGAGAGAGATGGCAAGCTATAGATTGCGGAGAAGAAGAAAGGTCAGTGCTTCTTCGCTGGCTGGCCGTCCGAGAGAGCGAGCGCGAGCGCAATTAACCAAGAGGAGGAGGGTTTTTCAATTCTTCCTCTTCTTGTTGCAGATGGACTCGCGAGGAGCGATCGCCTCGGGATGCCTACTACTGGCCCTCCTCACTACTGCTACCCTGGCTGGCCCCGGTGAGTGTACATCTAGCTTGTCCTACTCTTTCCTTTTAGCCACGGCTAACATCCTCCGCTACCTTCTTTTTGCTCGCTGCCTACTACTGCTGCTCCTTCCTTTTTGCGCGCGCATATATATCCCTCCAACGTGTACTTTTCCAGCTGCACTTATTATGTAACTATTCCGCGGCGCGGAGCCCTTCGCTAGTTTCCTCCTGGCTTTTTTTCCTTCTCTCTCTCGTCTTGCCTCGCCCGTCCCTCTTTCCCTCTCTCCCTCTCTTCCGAATCCGCAACTACCTCGACATTTTCTTTATTTTATTTAGCCGAGCGGTGCTTAAGGTTAGAAACAACCTTCCAAGATACAAATAGCCATTTCCTTCTCCGTCGCTGCTGCCGCTGCAGAATTTTACGTTTCTTTCTTTTTTGCTCTTGCTGCCGCTGCTGCTGCTGCTGCCGCTGCCGCCGCTGCCGCCGCCGCCGCTGCCGCCGCTGCCGCCGCCGTCGCCGCCGCCGCCACCGCCGCAGTTTTTCCGAGGAAACGCTGCGCGCGGCAAATTGCGGCTCGGAGGATGAACGAGAGGGAGCTTTCGTTTCCAAAGCCGTTAATAAAATTATTGGTACTCGAGGAAATAATTTCGCGAACGAGATTTACTTTTTCCTCTTTCTGCTCGTTCGCGTCGGATAGCAATTTTAACAAGCGTGCGCGCGCGCTTTAACTGTATATTGCACGGGCTCGAGCGGCGATGGTCGCCGTCGCGCGATCGCCCGACTCGGACGAGAATCGGTTCTGCCGCGAACTCGACGCCGGGCGAGCCCACGCACGGACGGCCAAGGCGGCGGCAGAGGCGGCGGCAGAGGCGGCGGCAAGAGCGGCGCCCGACCGAGGAAGCAGATCGCGCGCATTGTATGCAAATGGCCGCGAGACTCGTTGGACTGCGTCGATACGGCAGATAGCGCGCGCTCGTCCTGGACTCGGCTAAGAGACGACGACAATCCGTTGGCTTGCAGCGCGAACGGCGTTCGAGAAGCTGACCGACTACGACTACCGAGGCACCACCTACTACAGCGTGCGCAACCTGTCGCTGTACGAGTGTCAAGGCTGGTGCCGGGAGGAGCCCGAGTGCCAGGCGGCCGCGTTCAGCTTCGTGGTCAATCCCTTGGCGCCCATGCAGGACACCCTCTGCCAGCTGCAGAACGAAACCGCCGCCGCGAATCCGAGCTCGCAGCCGCAGAGGGCGGTCAACATGTACTACATGACCAAGCTGCAGATCCGATCAGGTACGTATGTGTGCGCATGCCGACGCGCGTGGCCCGCTCGAACCTCCCGAAGGGCCGGTTTCCTTTCCTCGTGTCCTTTCTCGTCCTTTTCTCGTCCTTTTCTCGTCGCCGACGGGAAGATGCTCAGGGATTATTCGAGACAGTGGACGAGACACCAGATTAGTCTTAGAGCGTAAGCCCGCCGAGGTTAAACGGAGCCGCGATCCGAGTCTTACGAGACTCAGCCGATGCTTTCGTGTCGCCTCGGACCGGCATTTTCCGAGAAGGATCCGGCTTCGGGAATCTTACAGCGGTCAATGCCTGCCAATTATGCCGCTGCTCGATGAAGAGCGAGATTTTCTTTCGTGGAAGCCGAATTATCTCTTCACCGACGAGAGGCTGTTCATTCAGGCCTACGCAGAATAATTATACAGCTTCCATATCGTCTGTTTGGCACTCTCGGGCCAGTTCTGTGCGCAGAGTTTCAACGTATCTTCGTCGTTTCATTCGCAAACAGCACTATCAGACTCAACTTATCAGAACTCGAATTTTCCGAAAATCACCTTGTGCTCAAATCTTCCGATGGATAAAATACCTATGGATAAAATAGGAGAGAAAGATGCTAACACGGCACAACAGCTATTACATTCATGCGATATTTAAAATTATAATTTACAAATCTCTACCGGCGTTCGAACCCCAATGAAGCCCCATGAAAATCTTTAATTTATTCACGGCCTTTCGGTCATTCGCGGGATCAGCCTCTCGTCGAGCAGTCCCTGTGCCTTTGCAAATCTCTCTCTCAAGTCGAAAACTCACTCGCGTTGGCGTTTGGTGTCGACGCACAGCGACCGATTCATCAAGGAAAGCCATTAATCAGCGGAAAACTGAGTTTGTACAAATTGCATCAAGGTCAAATATCCAGGGATTTTGACGTGTCGGTCCGGAAAGGCAGACCATCGGCACGGTGTAGGCGCGGTACACCCAAGAGACCAATCGCGCACTTCTCACAATGGTTGCGCGCCCGATTTGTTTCCTCCAAAGCGGAGCTTTCAAAGAGCCCGGGGAAAATTGTTGCGGAAGAATTTCCGAAGCGAGAGAGTCTCGGCTAAAACGCAATCATGCGAGGCGCATGCCCATAAATCCAAGGAAACGCACTCGGCCGAGCGGAGCGCATCTTCCCGCGCACGGCGATCTGAGCGTCGGCCGCTCGTAACTTAAATTCAACAACGCGTTGGTATGCAAAACGACCGAGCGAAAAAAAAAAACCAAAAGAAAGAAAAAAAATACCTGCCGTGAATGCAAAGGAGATGAATTATCCAGTGGATATACTTCCTCGAAAAGGTGCTAAAGGCGAAAGAGTGCCAGTCGTATGTCTAAATATTCCGTTGGTCGCGTCGTGCCTCGGGGGCGCGTTCCCGAGAAAGACCCCCCGGGGCGTGGCGAGGCGCGAAAAGCCATGTAATGCGCTCGAGCGCAGGTACGCGTCAAGTCCACCGTACGCTCTCTCTCTCTCTCTCTCTCTCTCTCGACCAGCAGTCTTGTTAAAGCAATATTAGAGGTTTGGGCGCGGCTCCCTCGATCTTTTCGACACCTCCGACGGCCGCGGCTCTCTCTCTCTCTCTCTCTCTCTCTCTCTCTCTCTCTCTCTCTCTCTCTCTCTCTATCTCTACCTGGAAACGGACGCATTGTTTCGCCAGCGCGGACCCGAGAAGGGAAAGCCTAAGCCGTGCCGGCGCTGTCTCACCGAAAGCCATAAATTTTTTCGCCACCATCGGGCAGAGGCGAGCTTCCTGCCGCGGTCCTCGTCCGGATTGTTGTCCCACGTGAAATTCGGATTGGCGATGCGTCCTGCGTCGCCGGCGTCGCGGGGTGCGTCTCGCCTCGATTGCCCCTTAGGCGGCCACTTCCCACGACCGCGCGCGGAAGCGCCCGCTCCTCCACTTTTGTCAATTGCGCGCGCAGGAGGCCAATCCATCAAGCGACCGCTCAGCTGGACAAGCGCGCGCGACGATCGCCGGGGAAAACACGTCGGAAGTCGGAGCGGGATGAGGGGGGGGGGGGGGGGCTCAGCGGCGAGTCGAGCGAGGGCAGCTGCCGCCACGTCGTATAAAGGGATTATCTCGGCCAAGATATACGCCTGCCGGGCGGCCACGTCTCATCCGTCTACCTGCGCTCCCGACACGACTAATCCTTCGAAGCGCCGCGAGAAAGATGGCGCGAGAGAGAGAGAGAGATCGCGCGAGCGACTAATTATCCGGGCAATTAAACAGCCTGAGGACTAATAATAAACCGAGGTTTAGGCTCCAAGGTGTGCATGCGACTCGAGGGAGAGAACAGCTTAGGTAAAAGTGTCAAGGCCAGGCTGCTCTCTCGGGGTCGTTCCTCGCTCTCGCTCGGCCGTTGAATTATGGACAGGCACGGCTCGGCTCGTCGATATTTTGGCGCCGCTCGAGTGTACAGCGTCTGCGGCGGAATTAGACGAGCGCGGCTCTACACGATGCATGGGTGCCCCGAACTAGGCCGCCGCCGTCGGATTCCGCGAAGCGCGCGCGGACACACGTGGGACTGGCCGAGCGCGAGCGCAGCCGCCGCGCGGTAAGCCGCTCGATCGTACCCGCCGTCGGGGTTGCCAGTCCCGCAGGCGCCACGCGCGCACTTTCAAAGAAGTCCGACTTGGCTTTGCAGCCTGGCAACTTCTCGGAAATCGAGTTTATAATTAACGTATACCTTGCCCGCAACGGCGCCTTCGCATCGACGAGGCGTCGGGCGCCCCTGCCTCTCTCTCGCGGTCGCTCTGCGAGACAGCGACAGCGCGGCCAATCCAAGTGCCGTCGCGCCGATGTATTGCATACGACGGCATTGAGCAATAGGCGACGCGGACGCGATTCGGCGCGCATCGATTTATCGCTTTCGCCTATGCTCGTTTTTTCCTCCTCGTCGTCGACCGGTCGGCCGCGACAGCCGCGAGAGCCACTTGGGAGGAGGGGGGGGGGGGGGCGCGGAACACGATCACCGCGCTCCTCGAGAGCTCGCCCAATTGTTGTTCGCCGAGGCTCCTGCGAGCGCGAGCCGCGATCTCCTCCAAAGTGGGCGAAGCACCAGCGATGCGTTTACTTCCGAGAAACCAGAGGGAACGTCGATAAAGTCAAGTGCAATGAAAAGTAGCCAGGCGGGCGAGCGAAAATATCGGCGTGACGCGGCTCTCTGCCTCGGATCGCGGGCTAATCGTAGCGCACGGCGGAGCCATCGGCAGGTCGAGTGAGAGGCCCGAAGGCTCGCTCGGCAGGCAGGGCCCCATTAACGACTGACTGCCGTCGTGCGCGCGGACTTGCAGAGAACGTGTGCCTGCGGCCATGGGCGTTCGAGAGAGTGCCCAACAAGATGATTCGCGGCCTGGACTCGGCATTGATCTACACGTCGACCAAGGAGGCCTGCTTGGCGGCTTGCCTGAACGAGCACCGCTTCACTTGCCGCTCGGTCGAGTACAACTACGTCACGTTGCAATGCCATCTGAGCGACTCGGACAGGAGGACAACGGGCCAGTTCGTGCAGTTCGTGGACGCGCAGGGCGTCGATTACTTCGAGAACCTCTGCCTGAAGGGTGAGCCCCGCGAACGACCGCCCGGCAACGAGCGGGAACCCACTGACGAGCGGCTATCCCCCGGTAGGTAAGGAGGCCTGCAAGGCCCAGCGCCACTACCAGGTGCCGAGGATCGGCGTGGCCGAGGACAAGGTGGCCCAGTACGCCGGACTGCACTACTACGCCGACAAAGAGCTGCAAGTGCAGAACGACCCGGCCTGCAGGATCGCCTGCGAGATCGAGAACGAGTTTCTCTGCAGGTCGTACTTGTACCGCGGACCGCCTCTTGGCCAGGCCTACAATTGCCATCTGTTCCACTTGGACCACTGGACCCTGCCCGACGGGCCGTCGACCTACCTCAACGCCGAAAGACCGCTCATCGATAACGGAGATCGCGTCGGCACCTATTACGAGAACTTCTGCGAAAGTGAGTTTCCGCAGGCGTTCCTTCCGAATGCTTATGCTCTGACCATCTGACCATCTGCCTCGCTTGCCTCGCAGAAGGGGCCATTTCCGATCCGGCGATCGAGTTCAACCTGACGACCAGTCCGCCGCAGGACTCGAGAATCGACATCAATTGCGACAAAACCGGCACCTGCTACGACGGTAAGCCAGCGACGGGCTGCAGCTCGTCGAGCCGTAACGATCGCCGGGACTAACGCTCGGCCGCGAATCTGTTGCAGTCACGGTGGATTGCAAGGACACGAGGATCGCCGTGCAGGTGCAGACCAACAAGGCGTTCAACGGCAGGATCTACGCGCTCGGCCGGTCGGAGACCTGCAACATCGACGTCAGCAACAGCAAATTCTTCCGCCTCGATCTGACCATGAGCGGCCAGGACTGCAATACGCAGAGCGTGGTGAGTACGCGACACGCGAGCGGGAGCGCGCGCCGCCCTCGTCGCTCTTTCGCTGCCCTTCCGTGCCTCGTGCAAACTCGTGCCGCGAGCTTTCCAACAATCCAAGCTCGGCTCAGCGCAAAGAGACTAAACTGAACGCGTGCGCCGCGGGGACGCGATGTTGTCTCTCGTATGTGCAGCGTGACGCTGGTTCATTTCAGACTGGCACCTACTCGAACACCGTGGTGCTACAGCACCACTCGGTGGTGATGACCAAAGCCGACAAGATCTACAAAGTCAAGTGCACCTACGACATGTCGTCTAAGAACATCACCTTCGGCATGATGCCCATTCGCGACCCAGACATGATCAGCATCACCAGTGCGCCCGAGGCGCCACCGCCGAAAATCCGTATCCTCGACAATCGCGCGCAGGAGGTGGAGACCGTCAGGATCGGAGACAAGCTTACCTTCAGGATCGAGATACCCGAAGACAGTCAGTAGATTGGTCTATCGTACGGCGGCTGGCCGGATCCGCCAGTGTGCTTGCTAATCGTCTGCTTTGCTTGCAGCTCCTTACGGAATCTTTGCTCGTAGCTGTGTTGCTATGGCTAAGGACGCCAAGAGCACCTTCCAGATCATCGACGACGAAGGGTAAGCTCTCGCTCTCTCTCTCTCTCTCTCTATCTCTCCTCTTGGCACAGAACAGAATCGCCGAAACAATTGTTTCCCGCCACAGCTGTCCGGTAGACTCGTCCATCTTCCCCGGCTTCTCGCCCGACGGCAACGCGCTGCAGTCATCGTACGAGGCATTCAGGTTCACCGAGTCATACGGCGTCATCTTTCAATGCAACGTTAAATACTGCCTGGGACCTTGCGAGCCGGTAATTTTAAACGATGCCTTTTTGCAAGGCGCAACGAGCCGCGACCAATCGGACGATTGCTAAAAACAAAGCCGTCTTGTGACAGGCGGTGTGCGAGTACGGCCGTGACTCGAGCGAGTCGTGGGGCAAGAGGCGCAGGAGAAGCTTGGACAGTAACAACAGCAGCAGCAGCAGCAGCAGCAGCAACGAGGAGAAGGCCGAGGACATGACGCTGTCGCAGGAGATCCTCGTGCTGGACTTTGGCGACGAGAAGCAGTCGCAGTTCTTCAAGAGCAGCGACGCCAGCGTCGACTTTAACGAGGCTGGTACGTATAGTGCGACGATTACGAGCTGTCAATTATCGCGAGGCGCGTGCGTGTCCTTCGGTGGCGCGCACCGACTCGCAGCTCTCCCTTTCTCCGGCCGTTTGGCACTCTGTCCTTCGGCGTCGACTCACCAACTTGTCTCGCGCTCCTGTTGCAGAGAAAACAGTGACCATCATCGAGCCCTGCCCTACCAAGATGTCGGTTCTCGCCTTGGCAGTGACGTGCGCTCTGCTCGTGCTCATCTACGTCTCCACCATCTTTTGCTACTACATGAAAAAGTGGCTACAGCCCAGGAAGATGATGCCTTGAGCGACCGGCTCCGGCGCGTAGTTCTCTCTCTCTCTCTCTCTCTCTCTCTCTCTCTCTCTCTCTCTCTCTCTCTCTCTCTTTCTCTCTTTTCTCGCGGAGAACGAACGCTATCACACGGAAACACCGACGAGACTGTTTTAAACGGGCCAAGTCACAAACATAACATTGATAACAAACGAACGAGGAACGAATGTCGCTCGGGTGACGACGGCACGCAAACGCATGCGCTCCGTGTCTGTCGCTCTCATAAAAATGCGTAGGATCGCGCTGCACATGCTTACACACAGACACACACGCACACATTCCTCGCGGCTCTAGGAAAAAATGCAAGCAAAAATTGCGTAAAAAACGGGATGGGAGAGGCGAAAAAAAAGAAATAGAAAACGCGCGCACACTCACACGGACACGACTTGCTGATTCGAAAGGCGGCTTCTATGCATTTTCACGACTCGCGGAGAGCTAATCAATCGAGAGCACGCAGGCACAGACTGCGCGGTGCCTCGTGACCCGACGCGCGCTGAGAGCTATTATCTCTATCAAGGCATTCTTTCTTTCTTTCTCTCTCTCTCTCTCTCTCTCTCTCTCTCTCTCTCTCTCTCTCTCTCTCTCTTTCCTTGTATACGCGAGTGCGCTACTTTTGATCGGGTTGCAAAACTTATTACACGCTCCAACATTGAAAACTGGACGAAGGACGAGAAGCTTTTCGCATCGTGTAACCTGCATCAAGACTAGCGTTATTACTTTAATGAACTTTCTATCGTATTATATATTATTAATTAATTAATTAATTGTATTTAAAGGCTCACAACGCTTCCACGCAAATCGACTACTAACGCGCGCGCGACGAATGTTCGTTATTCGATCGCTCCATTCATCTTCCACTTTCTTCCGTCGTAAGGTGTAGCTTTTAAGGTTTATCAATCGTAGCAGTGGTCCAATTTCTCTTTCTAAAAAACGACTAATTTCCATTAAGCTAGACTTACAATGATTAAACAAACGGCGCGCGGCGATATTCAAGCCCGAGCCGGCCTGTTGAAGAAGAATAAGAAAAAAGAGATTATTATTATATGCCAGGAGTAATAGGAACGTGGAGACCACATATTATATAATACAGGTTGCACTCGATAGTTTCCAGCGCTTTTTCCTCTTCTTCTTCCGACGGCTGCAGGCGGAATATCCACTGGCGACGCGCAGACTGCATTTCTCTCATGTACTATCACACGACTATATTATAAATATATATATATATATATATATATATATATATATATACATCTCCCTTGTACTTGTAGTTGCCTTCCTCCCAAGTCTAAATATTTATACGGATTTCTGATGGAAATTTGTCCTTTCGATAACGCAATTTTCAATCGTGAAAAACGATTACGAAGTTGTATATACTGCAGCACAAATTCGGTTAAATGTCCATTACGTATCGTCATTGTACTTTGTATACAACGATAAACCAACATTATACATGCATTCCCATGAATATTCGTCAATCATTATTACTGTAAGTGTGTGTATTTTTAGCCTATTTATGTACAACTGTTTTAATAATTAAACGAAACGAGATAAATTACATTTTCTCTCCATTTGATTTGTTTGCCAATGCCTTATCTTCCTGTTATTTGCTCTCTTTTCGTGCGCGCGGACGCGTCTTCTGATCACATTCAATGACACTCCATATAGTGGCGTTTGACGGATCAAACGGGCGTTCGACACAGCGCACTCTCGAAACTTTCCGTTTCGCGCTGGCGATTCGCGCACGTCCTGACGCGTGCCCGCGCTTCCGAGGAAAAAAATGGAAAGGCATATAATACATACGCGTCAGCTCTCGTGTTAGTCTCTGCGGAAATTCTCCGAAAAGCCAAACAACAGAGTGCGCGCTTGAAAGAAGATGCTTTATTCCGTTGTTCTTGTGAAAAAGCTAAAAATTACTTCGGAGAAACTGCCCAGTCCTAATATTCAAAGATTCACTTCACGTATATACATGTATCCCTTTTTATAGAGCGGAGTGCGGCTCTACATCCTATATGAGCGTTGAATCTGAACTTTGGTTGGGACCGAACAGGCAGCGAGCTCAGATTGAGCGAAGATAGAGCTGCAAGAGAGAAGCCTCAGTTTCCGAGGCGCGATGAGAAATATTTCTCCCTCCTCCTTTCGGCTGCGTGTTCTCGGCTCCTTTGAGAGACTGCTCGACGTCTATCGAACGCATCAACGAGAGAGAAAGAGAGAGGAACACCGACATTCTTCCCTTTCGCGCCCTAAAACTATATAATTTTTGGAGCGATTTCGTGAAACGAAAGACGAGCCTATGGCTCATATTGTTCCCTCAGTCCAATGATTGACTGAAAAATCCGAGTTCCGGCAAGTGTGTGCAAGGCGTACTGACTTGCAACGTGCAACGTCTCTTTCTCCCGCGGAAATTCGCCAAACGACCAACGATAGCAGCCGACGCAGTCGAGCATGCTCGGTCGGTAAAAGCCCTATACGAGATCGCGTGACACGGCGTGCAGCAACGACGTCAGGCAAGAGCGATCGATCGACAAGGCGGCGAGCGGCGCGAGCGAGTGGGGCATCGCGGAGTAGTTTCGCTGGCTTCGGACCGCAGCGAGAAAAAGCGAGCGCGAGAGAGAGAGAGAGAGAGAGAGAGAGAGAGAGAGAGAGAGAGAGAGCACGGCGGCGCTGCGTCTCGTCCGATTACAAGGGGGAGAGAAGTTGCTGCTGCTGCTGCAGGCCGGGCACCGATAAGATAAAAAGGTACATAACCAGCGCCGCTCTCCGTGTCCGCGTATGTGTGTGCGCGCCTCGCTCCCGCTCGTCACTCTCTCGTTACACTGTCCGAGGCTTGTTCGCCCGTCGTACCACACATGCGCGCAAAAATGCACTTGCCGCTAGTCTGACACGCACACGCGCGCGCCCGCGTTACAATTAAAGCGCGCACGATCAGTCGGGAGGAGGAAAGGAAGACACAGAGGAGCGACGACGGCGAGGCCGCCGCCGGCAGTGCGCTCCCGCCACGCAGGAAACTCGTCGATTTTTCCCGCAGAGCCCTTTACCCACAGCGAGCAAATTAAAGCGCACCTGACGGCCGTCGCTCTGCCTTGCGCTCGTCTCGCTGTGCCCCCCGAGAGCTTTAATGCATCCAAATTGTTGGTTTACACGGCCAGAGGCCCCGCGCCGATGATTACTTTTAAATCATTCGCGTGAGTCGAATTAATCAGCTATGCCAGCCTGCGAGTCCGTGTCTGGAATGACGATTTTTCGCGACGAGCCAATTTTATTCTCTCTCTCTCTCTCTCTCTATCTCTTTCTCTTCATTAGCATATGCGTACATCTATAAGCGTGCGCGAGCCCCCAGGCGACGATGCTGTTGCTGACGACCGAGTTGCCAAATCCGCCGATACCAACAAGGTTCTCTTTCCATTGTGATCGATCTTTAGCTAACTTCATTCTAATATAAGCAATCCGTGGCGCAGCTGGCGCGCGTGAACACGCCATTTGAACATCGATCGCGTGCGCTCACTTGTCGCGACTCGTCGCGGTCGTCGTTCAAGCACGCTTTTCGACAGCCAGCCGCTGACCTCTGCGTCACACGCGCGCTACTCTCTTACGAAGCGGATTGCCATCGAGTCGTTTTCTCTTTACGTCTCGAGTTTCATTGCGCTTTTCGCCTCGCTCATTAATGCGCCTCTCCAGTTTGACTTTTATACTCGTTAGCATGCGCGAGAGTCGGCTACATGGCTTCTTTTGGTTCCGGCGAACAAAGTTTGCAAACCGATCGTAAAAGGTAATTGGAGCGCCAAAATAATCACTACTCTCGATAAACGGTTTGACGTTATTGAGATTAATAAAACAAAATCCAACCAGTATCTTTTCCCTCTGCCGCGGAGGTACAGAGCCGAGCATAGGAGTAATTCAAGGACCCATATTTCGTACGCTGTAAGAGCTTTGAAAATTGCTGTTGCTCCAATTTTATTGTTGTACGATAAATCGCGGATTTTACTGTTGGTGGTGAGAGGTGCCATGGACACCTTTTTAAAGTGTTCTCTTTTTCAACGCGAATTAGTGTACTGCTAGCGGGTAGACTGCTAACTATAAGGGAATGTTAATCTAATTTTTTTCAACATCAAACGTGAAACCACGTGTAATCGAGATGATATAGAAAGTTGTTCCGCAGCAAATCCTTGCAACTGCGTTGGCGGTTCGTTAAATTGGATTTTTTACGTTCTCGATGTAGGCTGCGATGTCCAACGCATTAGTCATTAGAATTTTCGTACACGCAAATTAGCGAGATATTATCCGCACGTCGATCTATTATTTTGATAGGCCAGCAAACACGTATGCATAAACATATCCATCTGTCAATATAGACGCGCGCGCGCGCGTGTGTGTGTGTGTGTGTGTAAATTTACATACACATGTGCGAGGAACGTTGAGCAGTCAATAATTCGAGCACTTTGCGAAATCGAGGTCTGCATAACAATCGTCGCACACACTTACGCGTCTGCTACTATCGGGATATATGTAACGTACGATTGAACGCATTGATTGGCCAGGCTGACGCGCGATTCGAAGGAGCGATCGTGCATCTTTATTTTTCTCGTATTCAGCGAAGCGTTCAATTTCAATTGAGTGGAGCTTCAACCATTCTCGGTATAGGCGCTAATCGGCGCGAGCTCGCGTGCTCTCGTAACTTGTTGCGCGCGCGTCTCTCTCGCTCACTGCTAACAATATATCTTGTTATTTGCCATCCCCCTCCTGCAATAATAGGTTGATTAACTTTCTTTTATCAAAACGGCTGAAAGACAAAAAAACGCTAAAGAAGGCCAAAGCGTCCGATAAGCGCACATGTCGGCAGAGACGGCGAGCAAGGAGAAACGAAAAATGCGCGTGATAAGCGACTGCAAGGAAGAATAGAAGCACGGAGTGCAAGGCAGCGTTCAAAAAAGATTTGGCGAGTGTGCATACGCGCATATGGGGCGTTCGGTTCGGAAAGTCGCGCAGCGGCAGCGTTGAATTTCGGGCGCCGAGAAGTCTGGCACGATCGGAGAGTCGGCGGCGCGCGGGCGTCTCTGGTTACTCTCGGGTCGGCCGAGAGCCGCATGTGGGGCGCCTCGATTGGTGTCGGTGTGCGCACGCCTGTGTGCGAGCGCGCGTCGTCGCCGCGGTCGTCCCTCGCAGAGCCACATTCCATCGGGACGTCGAGTTTTCAAACATGGCCACTTGGCCTGGCTGGCCTTTTATACGCGCGCGCGTCTGTGTGTGTGCGCGCGCGCGAGCGTGAATGTAGGTCCTCGCACCGAGCAGCCAGCGAGCGCAAGTCAGAGAGCACACAGCCGAGCCGATCCCTCCTCTCCTCACTCTGCTCGCCGATACATTCTTTCGCCTGTGCCGCGTGCACGTGTGCGTGAGCGAGAGAGCACGCGCGCGCGCAAGAGAGAGAGAGCGAGAGAGAGAGAGAGCGAGCGAGCGAGCGAGAACTGTGTGCGAAGCGAAGCTGGCTGGCGACACCCTGTCTGGCAAGACCGGCTCGGTAGAACGCGCGGACAAAGGAGGGGCACCACGCAGCAGCAACCAGCAGAGTAATGCCGCCTGCCACGTTGCCACGTCTCTTAGCCGCAGCTCGGCTGCTCGCCGGCATAAACCGTGCATTATGAATCGGCTCTCTTTCTCTCGACACGCGCATCTACGTGTGTGCGTGCGCGCAGCAGCAATCCCAAGGACAAATCCGTCGCTGCCAGCCATCGTGGCGTCGCCGCTGCGCGCCTCTCTGTCTACCGCCGCCGCACTCGCTGTGCCGCGATGCACCTGGCTCGCACACTCACCCATTCTCTCTCTCGCTCTCTCGCTCGCTCGCTCGCTCTTTCTCTGCCCACTTTATTAATCTGAAAGGGAAAAACTCGGTAATGCGTGCAGCGTACGTGGCGCTTAACTCGGCCGTGAGGCGGAGGAAAGGGGGATCGAGACATTCTTAGGCAATGACTGTAGCGCCGATTTTTCTCGTAAGATGAACTGCGCGACGCAAGTGGCCGCGGGGGGCGGGAAGGGACAAAATCAACGCTGGAAATTTACGGGAGCTTCCTATCTGCCGCTTGTGCAGCTATCCGCGAGTGCGGGCTCTCTGCGTCACTCGAGAGAGCCAAAGCTGTGACGACTTGGCAACGCAGCCACCGTGGTGTGGAGAGCCAACAGCAGTAGCGGCGGCGGCGGCGGCGGCGGCGGCGGCGTCGCACCAGCAGCAAGCACCAGCAGAGCGGCTAAACATATTAAACTGTCGGCTCACGCCGCACAAAAACAACATGATCTCATTCCGCAAGCTAGCGACATTTATACGCGCAAGCTAAGCGACCAGGAGTATTGGCCGTCGCTGCCGTCGCGCGCGGCGAAGGCGAACGCGGACCCTAGGAATTCCGGGAACAAGCCGCCGCTCCTCGTTGCAGGGGTAAAAGAACCTTTTGACGGGCGGAATTTCGAGAAGAGTCATTTTTTTCCTCTCTTGAGCGAGAGAGAGAAAGAGAGCGAGAGAGAACGGCCGCACGCTTTGTTAGCGGAATGCCGCTCGAGCGAGGGCTTTTTTTTCGACGACGACGACGACGACGATTACGACGAGAGAGCGGATGTGTGGCACGATTTTGCGTAAGCCGGCAGCGTTTTACTTTTCAATGCCGAGCCGCCGTCACCGCCGCGCTACCACGGATTATCACGATGTGATGATGCGCCTAGAGTACACACCGCGACTACGGAGAACCGGACCGGTAGGCGACTTTTCTCAAAAAGCAGCAACATAAGGCTTCCAGAGGGACATATGCTCCCGACTTTCAACGGGCTCCTGATTTTCTTCTATTGCTTCGGAGTATCAAGCTCCTCGTCGCACAGAAGCGTGGCGAATTGCAGGTACGCGGCACGCGCGACTCGAGGACAGTTATTAAAGCGAGAACTTCTTCGAAAATAAACGTAACGAGGGGCAATCGTCATTTTGTAAGTTGATACTCAAAAAGCGCCGAAACTCGGACGATTTGCTCACGGCTGATGTCTACGTACACGCCAATGTAGCTATCCAGAACGTGACTAACGTGCCAGGCAAGAGCAAAGAACGAGTGTGGAAGAGTCAGCTTCGTTGATTTTTCAACTTGCGCGCACGAGCAGGCGAGCGAGAAGACGAATCGGTTTAGCAGAGCGCGCGCGAAGAGGCGATCGAGCCATTTGTTTTCTAGCGCGCACACATAATCGAAAGCCGATCCCTGTGGCGGCTGCCACCGCTGCTGCTGCTGTTGTTGATGCTACCGCTGCTGCTTTGGCTGCCAAAGTAAAGAGGCAGTTTAAATTTTCAAACGCTTTTAAATGCCAACTTTTAAATCGCGTCGCGAGCGAGCAAACTGTAAAGCGAGAGTAATGTGATACTCACACTTGCGGCTTTTGTCGCTTGATTCTCAATGGAGACAATCTCCTTGCACCGCGCAATGCGTCGCATCCGCAAGGGGCAAGGGACCTTGAAAAATCACACCGCCGAGAGACTTTTAATTTCGCGCGTGTGTACTTGCTGGTGCGCGAGGCTCGACCTGTTATGCAAACAGAACATGTTCGCGCATCGTCTTGGCGTCTTCCGTCGCATGACTTTTTCCGAGCCGTTTCCGACGACGACCAAGTTTTGAGAGTTGTTTTTTATTATTTTTATAGGTTGGCGCTTGGCCGCTACTGCGACGAGTTATTACGTAATCGTAAATCAAAACTCGCGTACGCGCCGTGTCATGTGCGTGTGCGCGCGCCTTTTCTGCTCTTCCACGAATTCTCAAGCGTTTGTTTATTTTCTTTTTTGTTAGCGCGCGCGCGCAACAGTCAAATAAATCCAGCTACTTTATTATCATTCGGTTTTGTGAATGAGCGAGCGACTTTTTTTCCATTCTCTTGGTCGCTGTCGCGACGAAATTATTCACGGGCATCGTGCACTCGTGTGCACGAGGAAAAGCGGACCAAGAGGCTTTGTCGCTGCAGCTCGATCGCGATGTATTCTCGAGTCGAACTGTTCGCGCAGCAAGTTTTATAATTATAACAATGCTTTTTTCGACACTGCGAGCGCCAGCATATTCTTGACCGCGCGCGCTCACCGTAATATTTATTTCGAGCATGATCGTCGGTAATTGTGAAAAAAGGGAAAAAATGACAAGTAATCTACATGCATGCGATATCGGCGTCTATAATTAGCTGGTCGAATGTTTCCAAGTCTCTCGCTCTCTTGTGGCTCTCGGCTAAAAAACCGCAATTTCTCTTCCTCCAGCTATAAAAATCGGCGATCTTATCTCCTTCACGATATATATTTTCATTAATAAAGAAGAGAAGACTCGAGAAGTCGTTCTCCGTGAGAGATCGAAAAATCTGGTCGTTCTCTCTCGTTCCGTGGCGTCAATGAGTATAAGGCCCCTTCTTCTTCTTCCTCGACGGGAGAATAAATAAAAGAGAATCCTCGTTATGGCGTTTCTCGACGCGTAAGCTTCGAGCGATAATCTCCAGTGTTTTGACTAAATAGCTTCGGCGATAAGCTGACCTCTTTAAAACCGCGCTGTTTACCGAATACTCATATGCGCTTTTGTGAAAGACATACGGTCGAGAGATGAAAAGTTCGTGCAGCGAGGGAGGAACAAGTCCGTTTAAAAGACCACGACGACGAAGAAGAGGACAACGACAACGGCAACGAACAAGAACAAGTAGATAGTATAGTAGTGGTAGAAGTAATAGTGCAGTCGTGTAGTAGTAGTAGGGAGCGCGTAAAAATCCTCGGCACTGGCACCGCGCTGGCTGAGCGAGCCGATCCGGACAGACAACATGGCGCCGGGACTTGCTGCTCTCCCACTCGGCTCTCACTCTCTCTCTCTCTCTCTCTCTCTCTCTTTCTCTCGGCCAAACATGCGAGCGCGCGCACACATGCACACGCTCTCGCTCCTTCTCTGTTTCACGCTCGACGCCATTTCGTGGGGGCCCAGAGTCACGGCGTATGCGTGTATCCGCAAGCATGCGTGTGTGCAACAGGGGGGAGACAGAGAGAGAGAGAGAGAGAGGCGCCTACGCCCGCGAGCGAGACGGAAAATTACGCTCCGAAAGAAGCACTGGCTTGAGCGTGTGTTAGCGCCTCGTTCCTCGAACACACGGCTTAAACGGGGGGACGCATATAAGCAACTGCGAGAGAGAAAGAGAGACAGAACAGTGGTGGGGGTAAACCGAGCCGAGCAAGCTAGCCAGGCAGGCGGCAGAGCGAGAGAGAAGCAATCCGGTCGACGAGCATTGGCTAGAGTGAGAAAGAGCGAGACGAGAGCGCTGCTGCTGTCCGCCTGCGAGTCTGGCGAAGGCAGCCCACAGGCGGCGGCTTGCTGAGCCTCAGTCATCAGTCGACTGGTGTGAGCGTTTGGTCTCCCTGCCAGTGTCTGGCTGTCTCTCTCTCTCTCTCTCTCTCTCTCTCTTTCTCTCCGTGTGCCTGTCGTACGCGAGTAGTCGCTCCGCTCCCGGTGTATTTCAACGGTCTTCTGCATTTGTCTGTTATATCGTGGAGTCGCGCTGTTGTAGCGACCGCACAGTGTGCCTTGGATCCAAATAGATAGTGTCCGAAACGAGATATACGCACGTTGGGAGAATTGCAATGTCGGAGCAACGAAAAGTGCCTCAAGAAAGAAGCCGCAACAGCAGCAAAGTAGTGTGAGAGAGAAGTTGATCGAGGCGCCACTCGACGTGTGTGTGCGTGTCTCGCGCTCTCGTCGAGTAGCCGCCACTTCGAACGTGTGCGTTTTATAATTCTCGGCCGGCAGCGGCGGCAAAAGCAGCAAAGCTGCGACGTTGTGTAACGCGCCTGGTGCGCGTAGGCCTTGCTTGCCGCGATTAGTTTTTTCGCGCTCGATGGCCCACGGCGTCAGCGAGATGCTCTCCCCTCAGGGAAGTCCAACCGGCGCTAAGCATCACCAGACCCATCATCAGAACAGCCTGCGCAAGAACGTAGGAGTCATGGGCAGCAGGCGCATCTTCGCACCGGCGTTCAAACTCAAGGTTCTCAATTCGTATCGCCAGGACCTAGACTGCCGCGGTAATCAGCGCGCCACGGCCCGCAAGTACAACATACACAGGCGCCAGATACAAAAGTGGCTGCAATGCGAGGAGAGCTTGAGGAGCTGTTGCGCTGCGTCCGGGGTGGATAGTAGTAGTAGCGGTACCAGCAGCGGTAGCCCGTCACCCGACTCAACGCAGCAGCACCAGCAGCCACAGCACCAACAGCATCACGCACTTCAGCAGCCGGCAACCTTGAACCCCAGTCGCGCCAGACTGCACGGCGACGAGCAGCAGCAGCAGCAGCAGCAGCAGCCGCCGCCGCCGCCGCCGCCGCCGCCCCCTCCACTACAGCACGCGCAACAGAGCGCAGCTGCCGTCGCGGCGACCTACCGATTTCTGTCTCAACCGCACCACTACGAATATTCGCATCCGCATCCGCAGCTCGTCTATCCCGTGCCGCCGCCGGCGGCCACGCCGGCGCTGCCCTATCAGTACGCCAGCTTCCAGCCCCCCACGGTCCGTTACTCGTCGGCGGACGAGGCCACGACGGCAGCCGAGATCAAACGCGAGCCTGCCAGTCCCGACTCGGCTTTTCATCAGCTGCACCATCACCATCGACTGCTGAAGAAGGAGCGACTAGACGACGAAGCTTGCACTGTCTCGTTCAGCAGCGGCGCGAGCGAGGCAAGTAGCAGTAGTAGCCCCGTGCCAAGCCACTTGGAGTCACTACCGCCGAGCCCGCGCGAGTCCAGCGGCTCCTCGGGCTCCGACAGCGAGGAGGCCGACTCGAGCTCGGGCTTCCAGCGGCACTCGGTGCGCACCGACGGCAAGGCCGCCGCGGGCGCCGATCTATCTCGCAGGCGCTCGTTCTCGCTACGCTTCAAGCTGCGCGTCCTCGACGCCTTCCACTCGGACAAGAACTGCAGACAGAACCAGCGCGCCACCGCGCGTCAGTTCAACATCAATCGGCGCCAGGTGCAAAAATGGCTCAGCCAGGAGCGCGACCTACGGGACCCCACGCAGCATCGTGGCGCCAACCGCCAGCGCCTCGGCTCGCACTCGCCGGCCGTGCCTTCTCACCACGAGGACTCCAAATGGCTGCTCAGGCGCGAGCGATTCTCGTCGCCGACGACGACCAACGCGACGATTTCGCACGGCGTTATCGAAGAGACGCCAGTGGACCTGCGCACCGGCAGTGCCGAGTACGGTTATTCCGGTGAGATGTCGCCCAACAGTTACGCGGATACCGTGCTCACGCCACCCTATAGCCAGACCGGCTGCACCCTGCCGTGCTGTAGTCAAGAGCAGCCAACTTACCACTGCTACTCGCCGCCGCAGCAACAGCAGCAGCAGCAGCAGCAGCAGCAGTCGGCGTTGAGCTGCTCACAGGAGCAACCTCTATGCCTAGTAAAGCCGAAGACGGAGCCGGTGTCGAGCACGGTGCCCACGCCACCTGCGCCCACGCCACCCAAGAGGGACGCCATACTCTTCAAGCCCTACCTCGACAACCCAGTGAGCAAGCCCGCTCCGCCGTCGCCCAACAGCATCAGCAGCAGCAGCAGCAACAACAACAACAACAACAACAACAACAACAACAACAACAGTCACGAGACCTGCAACCTAAACGAGCTCGCCCTCGACGTCAGCTTCAGGCCTCAGCAGCCGCAGTACCCGCAGCAGCCCTATCACCTCGAGATCCCGCGGGCGAGGAGTGCCTTCGTCAGATATCCGGCGTACCCACAGTAAGAAAAAAAGGCTCGATCGACGCCTTCCCTCCGCGGACAGCGATGCGCGCCGCTTCTTTGGTACGTTAACTTATTACATAGCTTTGGCAGTCGACATTTTTTGTGATACCCTAGAGCTCTGTGCGGAAGAGGAGACGTCGCTGCACGCGCGTCAATGAAGGCGTACTATACCACGCATAATAATATATGTAAATATGTACATAGCGAATTATATATTGTTGCGAAATATAGCAAAGATATTTTTATACCTCAATTTCAAGCTGAATCGGCTATTCGAATAATAATGGTAATGTGCCTTTTCGAACGCGGCCGAAAATAAAAGAGCAGTCTCTTCCACTTATTGCGGAAAAGAAGCGTATCAGTGTACTGTCGGTGCTGTCTCGCGCGCCAAGTTTTCCATTATTGCTGAGAGAACGCGCGCGCGCGTGAGCAAGAGGATTTATTGCAACTAATGTGCCTTGATGACAAACGCGTGCGATTGTATATCTTTCTAAACAGTATTTTTGCTATAATAATCGGTTTGCGTCGACGCATAATAATTATTGAGACTACAAGTATTTTTAAATACAGATGCAATGTTGTTTCTTCTTTTTCTTGTTTCTCGTAAAAAATACTCATTCAACGGGACGATTGTTTTCGATCAGTAACCTCCGGTGTGTGCGTGCGTGCGTGCGTGCGTGCGTGCGTGCGTGCGTGCGTGCGTGCGTGCGTGCGTGCGCGCACGTGTGTGTGTTTGTGTGTGTGTGCGTGTGCTTGTGCATGAGCGCGCGTACGTGGGTGTTGTTCTCTTCCTAGTTAGGAGAGAAAAGAAACCATTGGTGAGAGACATTTCCTCGAGAAAAACGACAAAAATAAATAACAAAAAAAATTATAATCATGGAATAGGGTCCCGTGCCTTACCCTGTTTGCAACCTTGGCAGGTCAAGGCAGCAATGTACAATAAAAATAAAAATGTCTAGAGACAGAAAAAGGAGGTAAATAAAGTAAGTCGTAGCCGTAAGCCATAATGAAATCACATATTGCCATAACGTTTTACATAATAGAGTATATATATGTATGTGTGTATATGTATGTGATATATATATGTGTATATATATATATATATTATATATATATTATAGTTCTAATGGAAAATATAGTTATATATCGCCGATTGACTGAACAAGGAGCGAAATCCTCGGCTCTGCGCGAGAGCATCCAGGCGATTGATATTGTGCCCCCCCCCCCCCCCCCAGTCTATATATATATGTATATATATATATATACATATAAATTATTCTTAATGGCGACAATGATCCATAGATACGTCATAGAGATTAGTTGGGCAACAAACGGTTTTCTCACAACACACATGACAATGTCTTACTGGAAACAAAAATTCTTTTTCCGTGCAATCATCCATATATTTCTAGTTTATCATTACGTAGATTTTAATGAGATCGGAGAAAAATTTACGAATATACCAAACTTTATTCATTTTCGGAGTATCAAATTTCAGAGAGAGTGCTGCTTACTGCGACTTCGAGTATACGAATTGAACTTTGTTGTTATTATATTTATAAGTGCAAGAGCATATAGAAAAAAGGCGAGAAAAATATATCGTTAAAAACGACTTTGTATTTTGCGAAAGATATTTTTAGTGGAGCTTTCGCTCGTAGGTGACGAGAGACGAATTCTGTTGTTTTTTTTACGTCCTTATTCTTCGCAATCGTGCCTTACAGGACATGGAAAAATTCTCTGTCAAATTGATAAAAAATGTGATATGTGACAAAAAATAAATTTATTTTAATAAAGGAAAAGTGATTCGTAAAACAGTCTTTTTGTCCTTCGAAATTGAAGAATATATTTATCTAATATATGTGTATTTTATAAATTATTCGTGCATACATCGTTTATGCAAAATGTGAGAATGTCTGGGTATATATCAAGTTCTTTGTACCCAAAAATTGTTCTTGTGTGCATGAGCAACTATCAATTATATCTAAAAACAAAACAACAATAAAATTGTTCTTTATCGTTATTATCGCGAAAACGAAAGACACAAGAAAAGACAACGAAGACTTGTGAATGTACGAATAGTATAAATGTTTAAACTTTGAAGAGTGCAAAATAGTAATGTTTATCGGTTACAAAAAGTCGACCTTTTTTCTACGCTCAGAAATACATAAAAAAAATGTAACGTATTGATTATAAAGATAATGTATTTGTATATGTATATACATCCCATGCGTACGTATATACGAGTATACAGAAAATAGAAATTATTTCAGAGAAATATAAAAGATTATTTTAAAAACTTAAACCAATTCTTATTATTCCAACAGTACCAACAAACTCACACTCCTTATCCACAATAATTTTAGACTTTAATTGAATTTCACTATTAATTAGTAAAATCGCGCCGATTATCTTGAATACAAGATTTATAATTTGAATAAGAGTCGAGCCATTTATCAATAGCTTATCACTTTAGCAAATGCACGTATGTGCACCTCTATAAGAACGCCAAAAAAACGAAAAATTTTCGTGCTGATAACGAAGACACGAGTTGCTGCTGTCGTTAATGACGAGGATAAGAAGAGGTGAAAATCGGAGTTTTCGACGCCACTACGTGCCACAAGTTGAAAACAATCGAAAGAAAACGGATACTCCGAAGCATTTACCGAAAGCACATATGCCCCTTTGAATTCACAATATCAATAAGCCAAATGGTTGTTGCACAATAAATTTTGCTTTTTCGGAAAAGTCGATCAACGGTTGACCTTCCAATTTTGGGCAAATTTGTAGTTGACAATTTGAATTTCTCGGGTTGGCGCATTTTCTTCGTTGCAAACTTGGGTTCGTCAACCAGCGTTCTAAATATTCACCGTTGAAGGAACGTTAAAATGAAGCTAAAAAGACAACAGCACGTCCCGTTCAAAAATCGGCAAATCAGCGGACGACAAGAGACCGCGCGCGAGGTGCAGTCGCAGCGCGCAGTCACACGCAAGGCGTAAGCGCGGTAGCACGTTTTCGAAAGTATTGTATCCACTATTGCGGCTCGCACACACTCGGCGCGACGATTTCTTCGTTATCCGAGCGCGCACCGCGTACGCGCGCGCGTTTCCCCCACCGAATAACCGCGTTATCGGCCGCGCACAAAGCGTGAGCCGCGCGCGTCCGCGGCGCGGAATCGCGCGATATTGCAACGCCGCACGCAGCGCAAACATGTCATTGGCGCCGAGTAAACAGTGCGACACACGCACGCTCCAGCGCCGCGCCGAGGTGCGATTCGAACCGCCGCGGGCTCGGCTTCTTCTCACGGGATCGTTATCGGGTTGTCCGGGAATGAGCCACGAACCACATCGGCTTTGGTGCTCGTCCGTTTTCGCATTAAGGCGACGCTGCAAGGCATTGCAGAAATGGCACTCTCGATCGGTGCTGATCAACTTGCAAATTTTCGTAAATCGTAACCAATAGTTCCTGAGTGCACAGTATCCATCGCTACTTGCACAAATAGGCAAGGGTGGATCGGATTCCACGAGTGTCTCGACTAAACGTAACCAACGGATTCTGAAAATCAGCTCGCAAGATAATAATGTTAAAATCTCGGAAAACATCGGACTTCTGTCAATGGCCTCGAGTGCGAACGTGAGCAAACGTTTATAAATAGCCTGATCTCTCTTTCTCTCTCTCTCAGTCGGAGGTAGATTAAGCAATTTTTTGTCATTTTCGCTCTCGACGGTACGCACACGCACGGCATTGTCGAGCGAGGAAAAAAGGAAACGGCAACGCAGAGCACCCGGGTTGCGTCAGAGCGCGAGTTATTTCTCGGTCAGATCGGAAAGCTTTCGACATTGAGATCTCGCGAGCAGCTACCCTTGAACGTCGCGCGCCGACGCGTCGACGCTACCCTTGAAAAGTCACTCGATCCCCACAATACACCTGCTCCAATGGAAAACCAGTGCAAATGGAGCCCTTTGCAGCACCACGAATCACTACACTCGGATTGCCTCGGGCGCAAAAGGCCTGACGTACATCTCTCTCTCTCGCTCTTTCGAGCGTATATTTTTATCCGACGAGCAAGCGCGTCTCGCATTCTCGCCGCTCCGCTACTCGTCCGCACTCGCGAAAGAGAGAGGAGATGCGCAACGTTAATCTCGCTGCCGACACGTTTGCGCCCTTTTTTCCGCTCGGCGAGCGCTCTCGCTGCACGCCCGTACCATTTTTATGCCGAAAATCCTCTTCCTCTTTGCAGCGAGAGACGAGCACTCTGCGCCGTAGATGCCGGCAAAGTACGTGTCGCCCGACCACGACGACTGTACATTGACGACCGATCAGATTCGACGGAGATATCGAGACACCTCGCTTGTCATCTTTCAAGTAAGACCTCGTACTTTTCTCAGTCTTTTTCCTGCCCCATTGTTACACCCATTATACGTATTATGACGTGTCGGGAAAATTACAGTCGCACATACTTGCTTTATTGAATAAGCTTTTTATTTCTTTTCGTTCGAGTAGAGATAAATTACATTACACTTTATACCGTCTTGTAAAAAAAATTTTCATCTTCTTTCTTTTCTTCAACTATACGAGTTTGCTCTATGTATTGGTAAAATAATCAAAATGAAAATAAACGAAAATTGCTTGACATGCACTAACAGGAGCAGTACTTGTACCGAGCACGCAGAGTGCGAGAAAGCGAACGAGAGCGCACGACTTATTTGAGTTTCGGCGTGAATCGACGTGCGGTGACTTACAATAACAACGGTAATGAGCCCGTTATCGTACATAGGACCGTTACGGATGCTGTGATGCAAGCAAATCCAAGTTCCAGATTTCTGTCGAGGATCATCAGAGCTTATGAGAAGCCTAGCGATAATTGTACGATAAGCTGATATAAACTTCGCCTTATATCTATGTACACTTTATGTATATTCTTTCAATATCTCTCTCTCTCTCTCTCTCTCTCTCTCTCTCTCTCTCTCTCTCTCTCTCTCTCTCTCTCTCTCTCTCTCTCTCTCTCTCTCTCTCTCTCTCTCTTGCTCTATACAAATATGTGTAGCCTGTTACTTTTTTCATACATTGGGCACATTCGTCTCTCTTTCTCTCTTATAGGGAATAAAATAAATAACAAAAACAAAAAGAAAAAAACAGATAATATCATTAATACACTTAACTTACGACGAACATAAAACGTGTATACTATGTAACATTTTTCATTGATGACTCGCGTCATTGCAAACCTTCTAAAGTTTACCATTTTTATGCATACTTTATAAAATTAGTATGTACATAAAAGAAATTTACATTGAATCATACGTGATCATCGTATATTATACATTGTTAAGCTATTACCTCGAATGGAATTTGCTTTTCACACATTTACGATTCACGAAATATCATTCTTTGAAAAAGATTAATATACTCATACCTTATTGCACTAACAAAAATGATTTCAATACTTTTTTAGAAGAAGTAACCAAAATAGCAAATTCTTTTCAATGTAAAAAATAACTATACAAATAATTTAATTAAATAACTAGGTTCACATATAAAATGAATAGATATACCAATAGATATATACCACGTAGCAAATAAAAAAAAAGAAAAAATATCTTTCTGAACATAATCTTCTTGAATTTCAGTTTGAAAAGCGTTTTAAACACCATGACAGTTATTGTACTTCAATAGGATACAATAAAGAAAACAATGTACACTACTTTTGTAACATTTGTTACGTCACTAGCACCAAATGTAAAAAATTATCTGGATAACTCAGATGCTCTGAAAGCCACTGCAAAGGAGTATCAAGTGGTGGAATGATTCCATGTGTATGCACAATAACTGTAATAAAAAAATAAAATTTTTCATAACAATGTATACATACACAAGTAATTTAATTAATCAACAATTAAGTCAAAGTCCAACAAGATAATATCTCAACCTTGTTCCATATCTGGAAAAACTTCATTGAGTAAGTGCTTCAAAGTTTTTCTTTGTCCTTCTTCTGTCACCGGTTTCACTAGTTTTTGAATGTATTTTTCCTCACTGGTATAACACCTGAATGGTATATATTTAAAACCCTCATCACTTGTAGCTTCCATCAGCTTACGATTCACAGCCCAAAACTGATCAAATTTGTCATTAAGCAGACCAAGCCATAGTTGATTATGATCTTTCTTTTGCATATTTGACACTACTTGACCTCGATGTTTTAACACATCTGCTTCTTTGATACAAGCAAGAAAATGTGCCTCTACAACTTCTCTGAAAACATAAAGTATAAATTCATTTGGGTTTCATATATTTTTTAATCTAAATATAAAATTCAACTTACTTATTATGGCAATGCATCAAGACATCTTCAGGAAACTTGTCAAAATGAACTACGATATTCCATGGCAATTGTATATCATTACGATATAGGTCCATAAGTACCCCAATGGGAACATGCCATTTTAAAGGTGTGCCATTGAACTCAAACCACATCTCAGTTTCTTGTTTTTCCTGAATGTCCTGTTGCACATGGCGCATAAAATGTTTTCTGACCTGAGACACGATAAAACAGTAAATGAGAATACAAGCTATTATAAAAATAAGTAAAAGGAAACAGCGTAGTTCACTTACTTTATCAGTACAAAGTGGAAAATAGCTTAAACGCGGCACCATTAAATAAAACGGATCAGGAGCTTGAAGATCATAAACTTCTTCTGGATCAAGTTGGAAACAAACAGGGATTTTGCCTTCCCATATTTCTCGAAGCACTTCTCTGTCGTTGGCCATTTTGTTGTTTCACAAAACAAAGTTATACTTGGAAAAAATTAAATCGTGAAAATTACATTTACACTATTGTTGAACATTGCTCTGCTTGAGAAATTAGTTGTTTCGAAACATCAATTAGGTTATGTTTTTCTCATTACTTTGATTAAATATACATACTGACACTGGCATTGATATGTAGCTCCCTCTAGTGGAGATATACGAAACAACGAAGTAAACCAACGAGAACAAAATATATATGTATATGTCGCGATATCGGTAGGTAACAAAGATTTTACTAAAATATATCGACGGGACGTAAAATGCCATGGTTATCAATGAAGGACATTGTAGGTCGCTTATTTTTGCATGGTTTATTTTTGAAATAAGTACTGTAAATCGAAGCTTTGTGCGACATTGTACATAAATAAAATGCATTCAATAATTATTTTTGTAAAATTAGGGGCAAGTGGAGTAAAAGTTTTGAATTTCGTGTAAATAGAGTTTTTATTTTTTTCTTCGAGATTCCTAGGAATTATTTTGTCAAAGCAAGAGTTGAGCGCAATTTGTTGATGCACAGTGAATGTCATGAAAAAGATTCAAGGCAATGAATTTATTTGTTTGAGAGGAAACCTTGAAAAACTTCTTTAAAAAGAACAGCATCACTCGGTAACACCACTGAGTGTTAAAAAATGTTACAGTATGATGCTAAAATTACTTGACAATTACTTTTTTAATATTAAAATCCATTATTTGAACTTTATATGGGTGTTATGAATATGGATTACCTTGAATTTGTAACGACGGTAAGGGAAAACCTACAAATGGTGGTTCGTTTTTTCGATGGACATTGAAATTGAAGTTGAGAAAATTTTTAAGCTAAAGCACGGAAGACGTAGGCCCCATCAAGGCGCCGCATTTGGATTACATTTCACGAAATAGCTTACACAATAATCGCTGTATATGTTGACTGGTTGAATTTATTTATGCTTCTATTTGTCATCCTTCAAACTTATAAATAAGGCGCTAATAGGTGAATCAAAGCATAATCGTTACAACAGAAGCTTCGTCAGTATTCGTCGGGTCCATTATTTTTATAACGGCCCACAAAGTGACTTTCCAGCAATAAGCCTATAGAAAGATATGCAAAATTACTTTGGTATCTAGTAAAATGTTGGATGTCTGATAAAATAAATGATTTTTTCTTCTTGTAAAAAGGCGTACGGGAGTCGTCGGGTAAAAACTGTAGACCGGCGAAATTCTTGGAATAAAAATTGATATTAGCATTAAAAGAGGCACTATCAAGCGAATGGCGCACGATTACGCAAGTACAAAGAAAAGTACGCCAGCTTTCTTTCGACACATAGAACTCGTTGCGAAAAAGTCGATAAGGCCCTTGCCTTTTCTCCCGTGACCACGGCGACGAGAGAAGATCGGCAAATGCGCGTTGCTTCAATGGAGGGAGCTACATGCGCGTAGGTGATGCTCGCTACGTTCGAGAGTCTGCGATTGAAAATCCACGGACGCGCGCGGCAGTGTTTTCCCGATAAGAGAAAGAGGCGGACAGCCGCAAAAGCCACGCGAGAGATAAAACGTTTAAATATAATCTGTCGGCGACGTGACGAAGAGAATGCAAGAGCGCGCGGCTGCGATGTGTTTTATCAAGCGCCGCTGCATGTGCATCGCGACCGAACGAAAGAAATGTTATCGTCGCTGCGAGACCTTTGCACTGAGAAAGCTCTTTATTACTGAAAGTTGGCGCGCCTGTGTGCGTTATGAGCGATACACCCCTTTCCTTGAAGCGTTTCGCATTTCACAGTGGAATTCGACTGGTTTTCGCTCTTCGTTTACCGTCGTGATTAGCAATAAAAACCATCAAGCCATCGGGCCTTTCGACCAAAGTACTGCGGATGAGTTCGCGAATAGGTGCAAGCTTTTGACTAACGACACGTCGATCATACAAAAGACCGCTCGAATTTGACTTCCAATATACATATCCAAGGTACATTGATTATCGGATTTATATATTGACAGAATGTCAGCATTCAACTATAATATACCACTGAGTGATTTATCAAAGTTTTTAATTAGCCCAACGATTAAGCTCGCAGCATTTAACTGGATACAATTGTAGAGAAAACTGATAGCAGTGAATGTTAGTACATAAAACTGACATTAATGAGTGCTATCAAGTACAATGGATGTTGAACGAGTTGAGTGCCAATAGACTTTTACAGCGCTGAAAATTGCATTTATTAGCTACAGTTCTAGCAACCGTCCGACGCAAGCACCTCCGGAAAGTCGTGAAAGTCGTTGCGAAAGCAAAAGTCGTTACAGCGATACGCGGAATTCCACCGAGAAACAACCATTGATCTGAAATCATGTTTATTTTGAGCGAATCTCGCAGTGCCAGTGTAAACAATGAGAGTTACGCAGCTGATAAATGGATATCGAGCGAATACTCGCGACGACGGCGTCGAGCGAAAAGTTGCGATCGAAGGACGGTTAGACGAAAGGGCAGTAAAAAGTCCGGAGTCCGTAGTATCGAGCCTGTTCGGAGCAGCTGGCCGTCCATCTAGAGCACTGGCGTAAAAAATAAACGCGGCGAACAGCGAGAATCTCATTTGTAAGGCGCGACCCTCGACCTCGTCTTTCCGCTGAACGACCGGCTATCTCGCGCTGTCCGCGCGCGCACGCGAGCGCGCAAATTAATATGGCACTTAGACGCGAGCTTTTTTTCACTGCAAAATCACGACGCTTCCGCGTTTGGCGCGCGCGTCACGCACGGCAATAAGACCACGCCGAATGCTCGAGAGATCGCTGGGGTAGATACAGCTGCGCCGACTTGGCTCCTCTCCCTCCTTCCTTCGCGAAGCGTCGCAGTTTTCACGGCTAACGACTGCACCTTTATCGCCCGCTCGACCGATGATACCTTCATTTTGCGGCGGTTAATTAAAGTCTCTTCGATTCGTCCCGCGCCCCGACGACGCGCCCAGCTCGGTCTAGTTCGCGGTGGTTGGCGCGAGTGCTTAATTATTATCAGTGTCGCCGCTCGAGGCGATATAAGGCCAAGTGAAAGAGACGGGGATAAAAAGTCGCTTATCTTATTTTCTAACAAAGTTGCAGACGCCAGTGCCGCGATTAGTATCAATGCTAAAGTTAGCGAACATTGTAGTCGAAGCTGCAAAGTGCCTCGTTGCTTTATCCGCCGCGCGATTCCGCGCTCGTCGCGCTCGACTTTGCCAGAAACTATGCCCCGCGCGCGACCGTTATATAATTTCATCAGCGTTACATTGACTTTTAAGCAGCTGCTGATAAAAATCCTCTGATAATGTCCATGGGCGTTTTTTAAGGGAAAGCCCATGCAACGTTTTATTCTAGAATTCTGTAAGCTATTATTATCGCAAACAAGTTTATTTATCGAATGTTTACCTATTTTCAGTAGCTCGCCAGTCGGTGTTTTCGATACAATGAAAATCCAAGTGTCGCGAGCGCCATTTCAATTCATAGTTTCAGCTACGTATACGATCGCAATTTTCTTTCGCTATTGGAATTCGGCGGATATGCGAATGAGAAAAGCTAAAAGGATCGGTTGCAAGCGCGTAATGCAATAACCAACGCTAACAACAGTATAGCAGGCGCGTAAAAAATCCATTAATAAGTTTTATGATCTAATGGTATCGGCGCCCGTCAAGTATAAATAGAATTTATACGACGTAATCATACTTGGATGAGAAATTTATTGTTTCGCGTCGACGTGTACATCAAAAGTAAAACATTTATTACCTTATTATGCAGAAAGACAACTGATCTTATCAAATTATCATTTTTTCGCAATCCGTCCGAACGAACTCTACGCTGCGTTTTGTATATTGATTGCGTGTAGCGTCGTTGATTTGGAAAAAAATCGCTTAAATTGACACCTTTCCTCCTAATCAATGAGGCTTTCGCGCCAATTTCATCGAGCAGAATAAATCAACTCGTCGAAAACCTCCGAACATCGATGGTACTTTCATTCGCCAACACTTGATAATGTCTTATCAAGCGAACGTTCGTCAAATATTTCGAGCCCATAAAATGATTACTACTTATTGATAGCTCATGGACGTTTTCGTTTATTGCACCGAGCGCGCCAGACGAAGAGAAAACGCTTCTTCGTACATCGACCGTACTCATCCGTTTTTCGTCGGCAATAGCGGTAGACGTATAACGCCACTACAAGGCATATCGCGGCTTTCCTAATTCATATCAAAGAAAAGTCGGATAAATCCGTTAAACTGTTCATTCGCGAAAGCACAGTCGCCATTTGAAAATCCCCCTCGAAAAAAACAAAATCGGTGTGAACAATCAGTGTCCAGATTGACGGAAGCAACAGGTAGTTGCCGAGAGGGTACTTTGGTAACAAATAGGCGCATCAAGCGTAGGGGGGTCGCTTGCGCGCCGCTCGTTAAAGGCAAAAAAAAAGAAAAAGAAAAAAAAAAAAAATAAAGACCGAGCGTGAAAAAAGTGCGTGCATACACGCGTACCCGTACGTAGGCCTACGCGCAGTGTGCGAGGTGTCGACGATGGAATGTCCCTCGGAGCGCTTCCGGCCGGAACGCGTCTCGCGAGGCCGATTTCACGCGCGACGGAGCGCGCAAACGAGCTCCCCTATATACGCGCGCGCCTTCGCCCCTGCGCGTACGCGGTTCTCGCGCTTTCGTCAATCCCGGCCGAGTGGGCGGAGAAGGAGCTTAGCCGCGCGTACGAGCGACGAAAAATCAACATCTGCACCGCGATCGATCTATCTCGCGCGTCCCCCCTCCCCGTCGAACGACGCGTCGAGTGTTTCTCGAAAGAAGAGTCCCGTCGATCAATCGTTGGTTTCTCTCTAAATCGAAATTCCATCGGAGAACGAGAGAAAGGAAAGAAAACCCTATCCGCGAGAGAGAAATGTCAATGTTATTATATAGCCGGTTGCGCGATCAGCAGGTGAGTATTAAGGGCCGACAGACGGGCAGCGCGAGGAGGAGATCGACTCACGCAACGAGCTCCGGGCAGCCGTTGGCATATGCCTGCGCGTGCTGCGGAGAGGAGAGCAGAACAGATGGACGTATAAACGAGAGCCGCAGGTTGGCCACGCGCCGCCGCCGCCGCCGCCGTCGATGC